TCCAAAGGCGACTCCACATGGATTAAGCTGTACAAAAAGGTAAAGCACATTGAAAGATGTAAGATTTTTATTTTCAGGGGTATCCCTTGATATATGTCAATAATCAGATGCATTTTTATATATAAAAAAAAAGAAAAAGAAAAAAAGAAAAAAAAAAAAAGAAAAAAAAAAGAAAAGAAAAAAGGAACAGTAACAGTTTTTTTTAAATGCATTCTTTTTTTTTTTATTTATAATTGTAATTATAATCTATAGTAATGTAAATATAAATGTATTTTTAATTTTTAATAATATAAATATAAATGTATTTCTAATTTTTTAATAATATAAATATAAATGTATATAATAATAGCCCGAATCGCCGGCCATAAAGACCATAAAATATTTGAAACGCGTAAAGAAATATGTGGACAAGCGGACAACCAGCGATAACAATGGAGTGCATCATTCAGAGACAAGCGAAGAGGATGACGATGCCGATGATATGGTGGGCAGAAGAGAGATCGAATCTATTGACTACCTACCCCACCCCCAAGCGAGAATCCCCTAGAATATTGCTAGAATACAAATAGAATAGATTTCCGTAGAGTATTGCCTGAGGAAGTTACAGACTTGCGGCTGTTATGCGCTACTCTTTTATGTTTACTAATAAGATCTTTTGTCTGTATAATTAATTATTCATGCTGCGCAAAAAGACTGGATCAATGCCGTTTTCCACATGGGTAACGAGAGAGAGTCAATCCTCTTCATTCCACTCATCTCCATTCTAATCCGTTCTAATTCGTTCGTTCATGTTAATAATAAAATTTGGTTTTATTTTGTTGGTTTTAGGTCATGAATCAGGATGTCAAGAAGGAGAATCCATTGCAGTTCAGATTCCGTGCCAAATTCTATCCGGAAGATGTTGCCGAGGAGCTCATACAGGACATCACATTGCGGCTGTTCTATCTGCAGGTGAAGAATGCCATATTGACCGACGAGATCTATTGTCCGCCCGAGACGTCCGTACTGCTCGCCTCGTATGCGGTGCAGGCGCGTCACGGGGATCACAACAAGACCACCCACACAGCCGGCTTCTTGGCGAACGATCGCTTGCTGCCGCAGCGTGTGATCGATCAGCACAAGATGTCCAAGGACGAGTGGGAGCAATCGATAATGACCTGGTGGCAGGAGCATCGCAGCATGCTGCGCGAGGATGCCATGATGGAGTATCTGAAGATTGCCCAGGATCTGGAAATGTATGGCGTCAATTACTTTGAGATCAGGAACAAGAAGGGCACCGATCTCTGGCTGGGCGTCGATGCCCTCGGCCTGAACATCTATGAGCAGGACGATCGACTGACGCCAAAGATTGGCTTCCCGTGGTCCGAGATCCGGAACATCTCCTTCTCCGAAAAGAAGTTCATCATCAAGCCGATCGACAAGAAGGCCCCCGACTTTATGTTCTTTGCCCCACGCGTTCGCATCAATAAGCGGATCCTGGCCCTCTGCATGGGCAACCATGAGCTGTACATGCGTCGTCGCAAGCCCGACACGATCGATGTGCAGCAAATGAAGGCGCAGGCGCGCGAAGAGAAGAATGCCAAACAGCAGGAGCGGTAAGTGATTGCCTAAACTCGACTTTAATTCGATTCCCAATCCTAATCGATTGCTGTACCTCTGCCTCTGCCTCTGCCTGTTAATAGCGAAAAGCTTCAACTGGCGCTGGCCGCTCGCGAACGTGCCGAAAAGAAGCAGCAGGAGTATGAGGATCGCTTGAAGCAAATGCAGGAGGAGATGGAGCGCTCGCAGCGCGATCTGCTCGAGGCCCAGGAGATGATCCGACGGCTGGAGGAGCAGCTGAAGCAGCTGCAGGCCGCCAAGGATGAGTTAGAGCTGCGCCAAAAGGAGCTGCAGGCGATGCTGCAGCGCCTCGAGGAGGCCAAGAACATGGAGGCCGTTGAGAAGATCAAGCTCGAGGAGGAGATCATGGCCAAGCAGATGGAGGTGCAGCGCATCCAGGACGAGGTCAATGCCAAGGACGAGGAGACCAAGCGTCTGCAAGACGAAGTCGAAGAGGCACGACGCAAGCAGGTCAGTGGGGAATTGGGAATGAATTTGGGAATTACGTACATATATCTATAGCTACTCCCTGTCTGACCCAATTTGATAAGCACTTTAATCAAAGGTTCCAAAAGGCAGGGCCATAATTTTGATAAGAGAAATTATTTGGGTAATTTCGATTGTTAGACGAGATTATGCGAGAATGGCAGCAGCTCCATAAACGGATAGGAGTCCATTCGATAAACAAAGAGGCCAGATTCAAGAAGCTTCTACGCGAAAATGCTGCTATACCTGTAGCCATATATAGAATCATTATTCTCTGATTTAATTGAAAGCTTCCCCTCAAATATAAGACAGATATTTTTTTTATGTAGAATTAAATGAATAATGGAATTTATTTACCCAAAGACAGTTGCATTTTCGTTGTCAATATTCGTTGCAACTGCTTGCTTCTCCTTCTTGCTTTGCTTTAAATAAATAATTACTGTTTATTGTACAGGCTGAAGCTGCTGCCGCATTGCTGGCTGCATCGACAACGCCGCAGCATCATCATGTGGCCGAGGATGAGAACGAGAATGAGGAGGAGCTGACGAATGGCGATGCCGGTGGCGATGTATCACGCGACCTGGACACTGACGAGCATATCAAGGATCCCATCGAGGATAGACGCACGCTGGCCGAGCGCAATGAGCGCCTGCATGATCAGCTTAAGGTATGCAGCAACTGAAACACTCAATTTCCTCGAAAGAATTTGTATTTTATATTTTATATTCTTCTCCGTTTGTCAGGCCCTGAAACAAGATCTGGCGCAGTCGCGGGATGAGACGAAAGAGACGGCAAACGATAAGATTCATCGGGAGAATGTGCGTCAGGGACGTGACAAGTACAAGACGCTTCGCGAGATCCGTAAGGGCAACACAAAGCGTCGCGTTGATCAGTTTGAGAACATGTAAAGAAGCAGCTGCACGCACGCACCGCAAGCCCCCGGACTCTCTTGGACTCTCTCGTCAAAAAAGAGAGAGAGATGGACAGCGAAGAGGAGTCTCCAAAAAGAAAGAGAAAGATATAGAAAGCAGAAAGAAGAACAGCAGAACAGCAGAAGCAGAACAGCAGAAGAAAAAGAAGAGAAAGAAACAACAAATATAATTCCGGTCGTTGCGACGATGACCCTCTAAAATCTACAAATCTACAAGAAATATTCGCAAAAAGTTCTATCCCCCCTAACCTGAAAGTTCCGTATAAATTTCAGATATTCCTTGTTTTCTGAGAAGCTTGTATAGAAGAAAAACAAAAATCCACAACATTAAAAAAACGATAGAACACAGCACACAGATACAGATACAGATAGAAATACCCTAGAGACAGACACACGCCCTCGACGATGATACATCTATGAGAAAGGACATTCAATCAACAGATCACAGTCAAAACTCAACAATCACTTCAATCAAACAATCAATCAGTCGAGAATATTACCCATTTTGAAACGCTAGAAACACAACACACAAACAAACAAATTAAACACCACAAATACAACTACAACAACAAACAACAACTATTTGCATTTTTTTCCCCCGTTATAATTATTATTTTTATTATTATATAATTACTATTTTTTTTTAAATTTGTATAATTAAATAAGAACTTGATTTATTGTTTCTTAAAAATAACTTGAGAAGAGAGCAAACAAAACAAAAACAAACAAACAAACAACAACAACAACAGAGAAACAAAAAATATATTATATAAAATATTTTTCTTCTTTTTAATCATATTTTTGTTTTGAAAGAAAAAAGATTCTTCAAAAAAATACAAAAAAAAAAAACAACAACAACAACAAAACAAACAAACGAAACACAAGAAAAACCATCAAAAACTATTGTGAAAAAAACCAAACAAAAAGTTTTTAAATTAAACAATAAAAATGTAAAAACAACAAACAAATATTTCGACAAAAATTCTAAGGAAAATCTTTTGAACTATTCAAAAACAATTCATCCTTTGGTTTATTGGCAGAGGTTTTTTTTCGGGAGCTGTGACGCAGAACGTAGATTGCTGCTTTGATATGGAAGATCATTATGGTTTCAGTTCAGTAGTTTTTGCGATGAAATAACCCCAAAGTCATGGGGAAGTTGGCAAGGCAAGGGGAATTTTCGGCGGTGATCTAGTTGAAGTTTTAAGCTTGTCAATCGATCAAATGCGAGCGATTCCTCCATCCCAAGCGGCAGTGCGAAAGAAAAATGCTCTGGCGTTGCTGTGCTGCTCGAGAGAGCACACATTCCATGTGGGAAAGCGATTTCGAGAGCATATTGCTATGGAATGTGTGTGCACGAATTGTGTGTTTTGTCGGCTGGGCAAAAGACAGTATTTACACGCTAGGTCCTCCGTCTTCTGGTTCCATTTGTGGGTAATGCTGTACTATTACTCTCAATAGTCTCGCGCCTGAGACTGCATGGTTCGAATTTTGACCAGCACCAATGTGTGTGGCTGCTGTCACAATTCTGGGCTCTGCCTTGGCTCTTCCATGCAGGCAAAGGGAGGCATATCACAGCGAAGAATCACTTGCAAACGAGAATCAAAGAGATCCATGATCTCTCCACAATTGCCAAGTCTGGCTTTAGGCCCCATATGATGTACGCCAGAGGGAGGATTTAATAATTAATAATTATTATTATAATAATTTAATATTTAATATTAATTTTCTTCGTTTTTATCTACAGATTTCAATTGATCCTCGCACATGCTCGATGATGATTAATGTCCACTGTGACGCTCCGAATCTCAAATATTTTCTGGCAGAAAACTCTAAACCGCATTCGGGCCACAAACCTTTGCAATAATTTCCAAATCGAAATCGATCAAAAATCCAAAATCACTTTTTGAGCCTTTTTTTTTTTTTGTCTAGCGCTTTATTAATGCAAATATCAGAAATTGATAACAATAGATACATCAGCTATATATGTATGTATTTATGTATGTATAAAGGTATATATTTAACTATTTAATGCACACAGGTATCAGATATCATCAGATGTCATATCATATGTGAGCTGTATAGCAAATACAAAAAAAAAAAATGTATAGGGGAGTGGGGGAAATACCAATCAACCGCGCAACTTAAGGTAGCAAAAAAAAAAAAAATATATATATATAGATCAAGAAACGAGAACGATCCGATGCGATCCGATTGGATTGATTTATTAATGGTTCTGTTCGCTATTAGATAACACACTAATCGTAGGCTAAATCAGTAGGTATTATGCGTATATATGTATATATAGTAAATAATAAAAACACACAAGATATCTCTCTGAAGGCACATAATTACAGGGTCTGGCGGCCCATTGAAGGCGCATTTTGTGTGGGTCCCACTGCGTTCGTGGTCCATCGCCGAACTCCTAAAAGGGAGGTCTGGGGACCAGGAATTGAGTATATTAGTTACAATGTATATATATAGATGTATGTATGTATATATATCAGTGTCAGTGTCAGCATGGACAGGGGCTTGGGCTTGGGTTTGGGTTTTTGGGGTGGAATCGTCTCTTAGCATACAAGTGGATATATATAGCTATTATAGGCTTGTATATATTTATATATATAACTTTCTATATGTTTATGTGATTCCAATTCGATTAGTATGGATTTCGTTGCACGGTTCTTTGCGTTCTACCGGGTATCGTCCTAGTAGGGATTGACGGCAGCGAGGCCAACGCGTCCGCCGGAACGGGCGAACACCGGCTCCGCATAGCTGTGACGATAGCCCTTGGGCATGCTGGCCAGTGGCTTGCCGGCAGCGGACGATGAGCCTACTCCTCCTCCGCCTCCGCCACCCTCCACGGATCTGCCATTGCTGCTGCTTGGCGTCGGTGCGGGCGAGGGATAGCGCTCGATGTGGTGGCCCCGGGCCGAGCCCGAGCTCGATTTGGTCTCCGACGGCTGCAAGTATTCGCGGGAATGGGCCCGCACCTGATGGCGACCCACCTGGTGCGGATCCCTCGCTCTCTCCTGCTCCCGCTCCCGCTCCCTCTCACGGTCTCGGTCATGGCGATAGGGGTCCCGGGACTGCTCTCGGGGCAGTGGAATCTCCTCCCCTCGGCGATTGTAGTCACGATCCCGATCGCGTTCCCGCTCGCGCTCCCTCTCTCGGTCGCGTCGCTCGGGTACGTGTCGGGGCTGCGGCTTTGGCTCCGGTTCCCAGTCGCTGCGGGAACGGGCCCGGGATCGGCTCAATTGATTGCGCTCGAGATGTGGAATCTCCTCCTCCTCGCTCCACTGCTCATACGTGGCTGGCGGCTCCACAGAGCCGCGTCTGCGACGCGACGAGGATCTATAGGCATCGGGAACGGACGGGGCGACGGTCGCGGGCATATCGCGCTCATCGAGCTCATAGCGACTGCCCGGCCGCTGCTCCATGGCCCGGAACTTGTCCTTGGCATCGTGAAAGCGGTCCCGCTGCGATGCCTGGCTGGCTGGTGGCGCCACAAAGTCTCCCCTGTCCCTATCCCGTTCCCGTTCTCGTTCCCGCTCGGAGCGTGGCTTGCGTGGGTCGGGATTTGGCGGTTCACCGTATCGCATGCCCGTCGACTTCATCATCTTCTCCATGCTCTGGATGTAGGGTAGGCTTTCCGCCTCGCGATATGGATTACGATCCCGGGAATGATCTCGTTCCCGCTCCCCCCTCTCTCTGTCTCTGTCACGCTCTCGATCATGCCTTCTGTCTGTTGTGCGCTGACCCAGATCCGAGCCCCGATGCACTGCAGCATATTTGTTGTGGCCACCACCTGGTGGACCAGCACCGCCCTGTGCCGGCTGTGCCAGCTGCTCGAACGGCAGCTCCGATGGCTCTACATAGCGATGACGGCTGCCGCCATAGCGCTGCGACTCCTCCGCCGCATACGACTTGTGCATCTGATGGTGGCTGTGCTGCTGCTGCTGCTGCAGCTGCTGCTTCTTTGTTGTGTACTCCATGAACTTTTGCTTGTCCGTGAGGTTCTCCTTGCGGTGATGGTGCTGCTGCTGCTGGTGCTGCGGCAGCTTCTCGTGCCCACTGCCCGGATCCGAATCGTCAAAGTCATCCAGATTCTCATCGAGACGGGACGAGCGGCCCTTTCGCTCGCGTTCCCTGTCATGGCTGGATAGCTTCTTGTTCAGCAATCGATTGATCTCATTGTACTTGTCCGTGTCCCGCAGCTTGGCCGGCTGCAGCTGCAGCTGCTGCTGCTGTCCCGTCTGTGCGGTCGGCTGCTCCTGCTGCATGACGCGATTGAATTTTGCATCGTAGTCGGCTGGTCGCATAATGATCGGCTTGATGTCATCCTCACGATTCCACGGCTTGTTCGAGACTGAGCCTGGAGTCTTGGTGCGTTCTCGCTCCCTCTCCTTTTCGCGCTCGCGCTCGCGTTCCCGTTCGCGTTCTCTTTCCCGCTCCCTTTCCAATTCGCGATCGCTGGGCCTGGGCTGATACGGCTTGGCCGGCAGATCCCTCAGATAACTATCCTCGGGCGGCTGCACGGCGCTCTTCCGCTTCAGCTGCACATGATGCGGTATTGCGATTTGTGACGGTTTGAGCGCTATCACCGAGTTGTCCGCCTCGTTCGACCAGTGCTCGTCATCTGCGGATCGGAGCCAAATAAAGCCAAATAAAATCAATTCAATAATGCTGTCAGACAGGTGCACTTACCGCTGGAGCTATTGAGCTCCTGCCTCTCCGGACTGGGCGCCAGATCGGAGCCAATGCCCGAGGATCCCCTCGACGACACCTGCTTGCCATTGCCATTGGCATTGGCCGTGGCCGTGGCCAGGGGCTGGGGCGTGCCGCCGCCTGACGCTGGACCCTTGGGCGAGCCACCCACAATCAATGCATTGCGACAGCGTCGCAGCTCGATGGCCGTCAGGTTGCCCTTGGAGCGGTGCACGGTGTCGTAGTCGCGGGGCGGCAGCAGCAGCGGCGGTCCATTGCCATTCAGCTTGGCCCGCAGCTCGGCGGCCAGCGAGTCGAACAGCTCGCTGTTCTGCTGCGGCGTCAGTGGCGGATGGTGCAACGGATGTGGGTGTGGATGTGGCTGTGACGCATGGTGCTTGCCGTGGGGCGGCGACCGGGAGACCGGTGAGCCGGCCACGACATGCTCCTCGCTGCACTCGGACTCGCGTGTGCTGTTGCCCGTGTCGCTGCCCAGGGAGCTGCTGAAGCGCTTCGGCGATGATGTCTCGTGGCGGCGACTCTGGTGGGCCGCATAGCCAGCGGAGGACGCCGACTGTTGTGACTGATGATGGTGGTGCTGGGAGGACTTTGTGCTCGACTCGTGTCGCTTGTCGTTGCTGTTGCTGCCAATGTGATGGTTGTTATTGTTGTTGCTGCTGCTGATTGGAAGCGGCGGCAAAATGCCCAATCTGAAAATAATACAATATTCAAAATAAACAAATATCGATGAAGCTCAGCCGCACAATACTGCAACTCGATGTATCGATCGCATTTAATTTTTAGTATTTTTTCAGTATCGAAGAATTCCAAAACGTTCAAGTGTGGCCATGTAGTTAAAAATACCGAAAAAGCTAACGAAAATACTATTTTGGTTTATTTTTCTCGTGCTGCCAGATCGGCTGCAAAACTATTGCAAGCAATTTTGAATCAGAATATATAAAGACTTGAAGACTTAGCAGAACTTGGGTGTTTCTTAAATAAAAGTTAATAATTTGTATGCTCTCTGCGTTGCTATTAACAAATACATGCACGTACATCGATATTCATCGATAGCGACCGCCAACAGGCTGGCAACTCTGTAGTAAATAAGTGAGTGCGCAATTTTTACCGCTGGCGTTTAAAAAAAGATTCGTGGGCAAAAAGAACATGGCGCACCGTTATATATGCATAGGGGATATAAGCTATGCGTAGATACCACCCACAGTGTGGGCGCATGCGGTTTAGACTTTTGTAGAGTGCGTGAAAGTTTTTCTTTTTTGCCCGTCGCGTACTGTGAGCGGCCCCCCGGCCGGGTCGCTATATTGACTTAATTGAAGTCTTAGGAAATGCCTTGCGTGTAACAAAAAGTAATAATTTCAATGATTCTGGGTTCAATGGGGCCCGGCCCCATTCAATTTTCGACTATATGCAAATGCATTTTTTCCCCCAAATTTCAGCGTGCCTGGATTCAAAGATGGCGTTCAAACAGCCAACCCGTTGCAGCTCTGTGGGGAAACGGTAAATGGCAAAGTTACGTGCAAGAAGCAAGCTGTAAAATGTGCATACAAAGGAGAGTTTTTCCTGGCCAAAGTAAAGTGTGCTGTGCTTCGGCGGGGCTTATCTCGTTATGGATATGGGTGCGCTGACATTTGGCTGCAGTGTGGGCGCACATACAGAACCACTTCTGTGCTGTGGTGTGCTGGACTGTGGGGCCCAACGCGTCTTGTGTGTTCGTGGGAATGCAGTGTGCCGCTGCATTATCATCATCGGGCAAACATCATCAGTGGCAATGGCATTTTGGCCACTTAAACAAAACACGTAAGCACTCACACACACACACACAAACACACACATCGACTGCTCATCGATTGCATTGCATAATGAAAACTTACCTTGTTTCCAGCTCCTCGAATCGTTTTTGATTATCGGGACGATTGATGAGGACCTGCAGCTGTTGGTGCAACGCCTCCGCCGTTGTCTCCGAGTCGCAGCGGTAGGCGTGGACATGGAGCGGACACTTGGTGGCCGGATTATACAGCAGCAGGACACAGGCCACGATATCGTCGGTCTGCACGGAGCTGGTTATGGCACTGTGTGGTATCAAATGCTTTGATGCCCCCTGAAACCAGACCAGACCAGAGTGAACGTGGGGTTAGTAAGTTCTAGTTATGATCTAGATTTTGTATGCCTTGTGTGTTTGCGTGGGATGTTGCTTACCTGCACGATTTTGATGCCCTTGTGGGAGACCTGAAGCGTCACCTTCAGCGGCTCCTGGCCGCGCGATCTGTCCACCAGATACGGCAGCACCGAATTGATGACGCGTGGGCCTCGCAATCCCTTGGCCTCCTCTGCGCCCAAGAACCACACATAGTACGAGGCCTTCTGCACGTCTCGACGCAAGCGCAGCGCCATATTTTCAATGTCTGCCAAATGTGTGTGTGCGTCTCAAACGAGTAATATCCTTGTAGTACAGTTTTATCGTCTATCGTCTATGGATTATTGGGTTTTAAATGCAGTTTGTAGTTGAAAACATCTAAAAAGAAAATATGCCATATAATTTAGTGAAATCAAATAGAATTGGAATTGAATAGGAAATGTTACACTTTGCTTGGCCAATCTTATTAGTGTTTGTTCGTTAATGAATGCCAACAATATTCCACAGCAAACAACAACAATTGCACAGCCAAAAACCCAATGAGAATGGAAGAGCCTATGATGAGCCCAAGCAATGGAAAATCACAGCAAAAATCAGCTTCTAAGCCTTGCCAAGCTCTGTTAATGTCAAAGAGGAAACGTTACCAAATGGAGGATTTAAATGAAAAAAAACAAAAAAAAACTGGAATGTTACGACGAGCAGAGCAACTGTTTCGAGTGCCATCTAACGGGCAAACCAGACAGATTTCAGATACGGACCACCATCTCGTCATGTGTCATAATTTGTGTGAAGCACAGCACAGCGCAGCGCAGCACAGAGTTGGAATATTCGAAACTGGTGCCAAAATCCCACCAAAATCAAAGCAGAGAAACCAGCGACAGACCAAACGGTATTAACCCGTCATACAGGTGTCGTTTGTCTATCTGTCTCTGTTTCTGTGTGTGAATGTGTATCCGATTCTCTCCTCTAATAACGTTTATAATCGATGATCTTGTATGACTTGTTGTTCATCGTTCGGTGCGGTGCGATGCGATGCGGTGCGGTGCGGTGCCTCTCCTCGTCGTGTAGGCCAAAAGAATCTTGTTTTTTCAGTTATGCATTCAACACAAAAGCAAACAAAAACCGCAACGGAGGGGAATATCAATATACATATATGCTTAAAAAATTTACATATGACACCAACACACACACACATAGCCCATACAACAAAAATGGCTGCTAAACAAACGATATTATTAACCTCAAAACGGATTTAAATTTAAGAAACGAGAAACGAGGAATGCATAATCAGAAGACGATCAAAACACCCAAGAAAAGTCACCTCACCGAGTCGTTCCCATGACAGAATTCTATAAATATCTTAGTATACGTGACTCTTGCTATATCATGGAATAATTGTTGCATGCAATCATCCAAAAATTGAGCTAAGAGAAGTGTCCCTAGTGCAAGTGCTTCTAGGGTGCATTCTTGGTGCGTTCTTAATCATTAAAACATGCTCATATTTCCCCTCATCGATTGGTACAATCAAAATCTGGCCCCGAAACTTCTGAAAGCCAAATGCAAACAAAGGAAATACCACAAAGAGTTCCACTGGCCACTACTGCTGGATATCAGCAATTAACAATTATCAATATTTTGAGGAAGTATAAGTTTAGGCTATTAGTTTGGCTAACTTCAATTATCTTTGGTTTGGGTTTTTTTTTTCTGTGTGGTCAAAAACTTGTTTCACCAAAACCTATTTCCTATGTGGAGACAATTTTGTGTGATTGATGGTTTAAGAAATGTAATCCAGGGACAATTCTATTTGGAAATATTCAAGTTATTTTGTTTTTGCCTTTGTGGAAATTCAATGGTAATTATTTTTGAAATTCTTTTATACATATTGCTTTTTACTGCACAAAAATTAAATAATTATGAGGTGTAGGTGTTCGTTGTAGCTGGAATTTATTTGAGCAATGTTCATATTTTCTTTGAATTCTTGCAAGTCTTGCAGCAGCAGGTCTAAGCGCTCTTTTCTTCAATTTGTATGCCCAAATTCGAATTTATTAGCAAAAAAGTCTCATATACATATAGTGGTACCGAATGGAACTCCCAACGAAGTGCAAAACAGAGGTATCCCCCACCTAACAACACCCCTCCCTCCGCCCCCCAGCGTGATGAAAGACTCGTGTCGTTCGCTTGGCCGTTTTGAAGATGAAGAAGATATTTGCATAAAACAATCCGTTTGCTGATCAGCCAAGCAGCAAATAAACAATTTGCAAAACAGATCTTTTGTTATGCGATTAGTTTGTTTTTTTTTTTTTGGCTTTGGCTTTGCTGGTATTGGTATACCCCATAGAATAATCTTCTGTCCATAACGTCCACACGAGTGAAGCAGTTGGCTTGTATTTCCCAATGTTATTCGAATGTTTGAGTACAAACCAGACTGGGCTTTTGTTTTGGTATGCAAATCGAAAGAGTTCTGTCTCAAAAAGATACACGGATGTAAGTAACGCTTGCCACCAATTGGGTTGGTGTTCTCGTTTCCCTCGTTGGTGGGTGTTTCAGTCATTTATTGGATTTGCTTTTTGCTGTCGTTTTGTTTGCCTAAAAAATGGGTTAAGCGCCTTTTGCTGCCACACTGCCACTCTGCCACATGATGATGATGATGATGATGGTGTTTGGGGGGCGGTGTTTCTTTAAAGGGGGGCATGGCATGGCACTTAAGAATTGTATCGGAATTTGTAACACATTTTGGCTGGCATTTGGCACTTGCACTACAATTTGTTTTCGTTGTTTTCGTTGTTGGGCTTCTGCTCCAGTTTGTTCAGAGTCAGAGCTCTCGATCAATGAACCGTTTACACACAAACACAGTTACAGATCTACAGATATACAGATACACACTTGCACAGAAGTGGAGCGTTTAAATTTCTAAAAAAAACTTATTTGATTAACGGTAATGGCTCTCCGCCAAAGAGAGTCAGAGTCAGAGTCTCGCCTCAAACTCACACTCGCACTCACACTCTCTCTCTCTCTCTCTCTCTCTCGCTTCCTCTTTTCTTTCATAGAGAAGCGAATGAACAACACAAAACACAGACACACACAAAACACACCTTAGCACAGCAGCAGTAGATATATATATATGTATATATATATATCGTTTATCGTATATATATCTCGTGTGTGGAGAGCAACAAAAAAAAAGTTTAACAAAAAGAGCAGCTCTTCTACTTCTATGCCGTGAGATGAGAGAGCTTCAACGCGCGCTTTGTGTGGATAGACAACGTCCCAACGCTTTGACCGCCTGCCATCGACTGACTTGGCTAACTGCCTGCCAACGAACATTGTGGTAGCTGGTGGCTGGTGGCTGGTAGCTCAGCTCTCGAACGAACGAACGAACTCCACAGCTCAGCTCTTGGCCTGGTCGACGGTCTCGGTCTCGGTCTGGTCTGGTCTCTGCGCCCCGCAGACCCGGTTTCTGCCTGAGTTTGTGCGCCGAGCCGAGCCCGAACTTGTTTTGCTGTTGTTGTTGTTGCTGCTGTTGTTGTCTGTAAGTCGCCGCAAAGAAAGTCAAGTCGCGATATTGCCGTACAGTGTCAACAAGTGTCCCAAGAATGCACCAAAATTGCAGTTGGCTTTGCGTTTGAGTGCATTAAGTGGAGTGGATGAATCAATGAGTTTCGAGCATAACATCAACATTTACCTTAATGTGCGTGGAAATAAATTTTAAGAGATCTACAAGTACAGTTTTTGAGAATTTTGGAATATGTTTTGATAATCAACTAATATGAAATTAATGCATGCCAAAAATGTGATGCTCTACCACAAAGTTGATTGTTTTATTCAGCGTTTAGAATCTATATAGATAGTCCCTAAGCAAGCCAAAACTTGTCGACTAAATCTCTGAGCATAGCCATATAAATTCGCTTCGTTAGATTTCGTTGTCTGGGCACTTGTTGCCCTTTCCATGTTTGATTTCTCATGAAATGCAGCTCATAAAATATATTTTTGAGCAGTAAATGCAGCAGAGCGCGCTTCTGTACCACTGTGCTGCTGTCTTTGTGTGGATTGTATGGAGTGTGGAGTGTGGAGAGTGGAGTGTCTTGTGCTGGAATGTGTTGAAATTAAAAGTTGTTGGGTTTTTGGGCGCAGTCGCGGCCCTGGCGAAGCACAGGCCAATCGGTGTGTGGTTGTTGTACGACTTCTTTTATTTTTTGTTTTTGTTTTTTTTTTTCTTCTTATTTTTATTTTTTTATTTTTGGCTTAGACAGGTGTACGCAGACGCTATTGTTGTTGGGTGCCGTGCCGCCACCGCCACCGCCAACTGCCACTGCGGTTGTTGTTGCTGGTGCTATTGATACGAAGCATAGCATTGAGCACTGTTTTTTTTTTGTTTTTTTGTTGTTTTGGTTTTGTTTTTGTTTTTGAAAAGCCGTCCGTGCATTCTACAAGTTTTCCATCCATCTAGCGAAGTCTTGGGCACACACAATCGATTGAAAAACTTGGCATTTAACTTGTTTGGGTTTTTTGTTTTGGCCATCGAGTGAAATCTACAGGTAGTACTCCGCGTGGACCCATCGAGAGACCCACAACGGAAATGCTCATGATTTAGTCAAGGTGTCGATATTTTGCACAATTCTTTTTGCGTTTTTGGCACAGTTTTCAGAGTCTTGCTTGGTGCGCAAAAAATCATGTCTACGATTATTTCCCATGCCCAATGTTTTGTGCATAATTATTGATTGATGGCTTGATGATAAATATGGCAACGGGGCGTACAATTTTTGGTTACAACAGTAAAAAAAATTTGCTATTGGTATTTTCATTGTGCAAATATATTCTAATACATTTTTACACAGCTAGTTTTTCCCTCCCCATCCCCTCTCCAAGCGGCAATCGAAACTGGTTTTTTTTTTTGTTTGTTTTCAAAAATGTTCGCCTTGGCCCCGGCCTGACTCTGACGCCTCTGCAAAAAATCAAATGGAAACGTGAAAAGCACTCAACATTATCAAGATAAAGTGTTCTAATTTTTTACTGCTCGCCGCTGTTTAGCGTTCGAACCGATCCAACATTAAAATGATGCCAAAAAGCGAATAGAAAGCTGTTTTATTATCGAAATATATTCAGCGGATATCCGTACTACTTTTGGGCTTCAATTGATATCTAGATGTAGATAAGGCCTTGAAAATTTGAATTTTTAGCAAAAAAAAAAATAACAAAATATTTTCAAACCTTTTACTGTAGTAATGTTTCATTGATTTTCTTTAATACATTTTATTTTTTTTTTTAGATTTTTTATTAATAATATCAATGGATGATTTTTTTCCTTATGGGCCACCCTTTGTGGTATTCGTATTTCCTGTTTGCTTGCCCTTAAACACTCTTATGACCCCCAGTATCTT